TTTTCAATAAAGGCTTTGGCTGTGGATAATGAAGCAGCTGGCACACTGGCTTCATTTTAAAAGTTTACAGAGAATCCCCAGGCATCCCTCTCATCCTAGGCTGGTTATAAATGGACTCACCTCCCTATTCAGACCTCCAGTGGTTTCCACATTATCACTTTCACCAAAAACCCTCCCTTGTGACTCCTGACAGATAATGCAGCAGAGGGGCCTTGCTCTAAAGCAATTTACATAAAAGTTATAATAGCTCTTTGTTATCCAGTATGACTAGGAAATGGGCTCTTCTAGTACATCAAGCACCGAGGACAGCACAATGGTACTACTAGTGAGACTACCAATTTATAAAGAACTTAAGTGTGCTCAATATCAACTTTATTTTTAAAGAACAGAACTCAAAGTTCCATAAGGGCTTGATGTACATATAGAAAAAGTATATGAATATGTGAACACAGTCACACATCATTCCCAAATGAGGTTGCTTCTCAGGACCACCTGAAGAACAAAATTGCAAGGGTTTTTTGTTTTGTTTTGTTTTGTTGATCATGGGGCCTAACCTCTGGGCCCTGGCACTGTCCCTCAGCTTTTCAGCTCAAGGCTAGGGCTCTACCACTTGAACCACAGAGCCACTTCCAGCTTTTTCTGCTTATGTGGTGCTGAGGAATCGAACCCAGAGCCTCATGCATGCGAGGCAAGCACTCTACCACTGAGCCACCTTCTCAGCTCCTGCAAGGGTTTTGTTTTGTTTGTTCTTGGGATTTTGCTGGTCCTAGGTCTTGAACTCAAGGTCTGGACACTGTCCCTGAGCCTCTTTGTACTCAAGGCTAGTGTTCTACCACTTGAGCCACAGCACTACTTCTGGCCTTTTGAGTAGTTTATTGGAGATAAAAATCTCATGGACTTTTCTGCCTGGGCTGGCTTTGAACTCAGATCTCAGCCTCCTGAGTGGCTACAATTACAGGTGTGAGCCACCAGCACCCAGCTTACGAGATTTTTTAACCAATCAAAATCTCTAGGAGGTGGAACTCAGAAATCTGCATTTTTAAAAAAATGTGTGTATATGTGTGTGTGAAAGTACTGGGGCTTGGACTAAAAAAATAGGCACTGTGCCTTAGTTTTTTCCCTCAAGCTGTCATTCTACCACTTGAGCCACAGCTCCACTTTCAGCTTTTTGATAGATAATCAGAGAAAAGAGCCTTACAAACTTTTCTGCTGCCAGGAGATGGGAAAGTGGCCCTGGGTTCAATTCCTCAGTACCACATAAGCAGAAAAAGCTGGAAGTGGCGCTGTGGCTCAAGTGGTAGAGCGCTAGCCTTGAACTGAGGGACAGCACCCAGACCCAGAGTTCAGGCTCCACAACAAACCAAAACACAGAAACATTTCCTGCTGCCTAAGCCAACTTCAAACTGTGATCCTCAGATCTCAGCCTCTTGAGTGGCTACAATTATCGGTATAAACCACCAGTGCCCACCTAAATGTGCACTTTTAAAGAAGGCCTAGGTGTCTCAGTTACAAACTGCCAGATACCACATCCTTCAAGGAGTGGCTGGCTGGCTTTGGGGAACTCCTTGCAATAAAACAAGCTACACTCATTACAACGTGGTCTTCCTTTGATGAAAGGAGGCTTCAGGATCTCTTAATGCCACTGGGCCATCATTCACTACTAGTGACTAGTCGCTAAACTGGCAAAACCAGAAAGTAACAAGAGGTTAAGGTGGTTTTCCTATTGGCAGAAAGCTAGAAAAACCAGCTTTGGTTTTACAATCAAATTCAAAGAGCTGGTTTCTTCCCAGAATAAACGCAGATTTGGTGTGTGCTTTGAAAGAAAAAAAAATGTTTTAAAACATACAGAGCTCCCATTTAGCACTACTTCAGAATGTGTAAAAAAATGTGGAATATTCTTCTTGAATACAAAAAGCAAAGGAAGAACTTGAATCTTAAGAGAAAGGATAAAGGGTTTAAAATAAGACTGGTGTAACAGGATTAGAAGTGACCACTGTCCTGACCACAGCAACTGTTAAATCCTGGGAACAGGGAGAGCTGAAGTCCATAAACACGAGAGAGACATCCTACTAAGAGCTCTACTCATTTTAGAGCTTTAAAACTCCACTACTAATAAAGTCACAAAACAAAAAACTGACTAGTGAAGGACTTGCCTCTCCCAATCTTTTTATGTATCTAAAGATGGAATATGAAGAATTGAGGCCTGCCTTATTCCCCAGGGTCAAGCAAAGCACCAAGTGTGTGTGCTTCAGTGCTTGTCGGCAGGCAGGTCATTCCAACCTTGGCCCCCAGGAAACAAAAGCCCCCGCCCCCACCCCAGATGGAGCAATCCACTCTGAGCCTGGCCAAGGCCACTGACCTTGGCCTCCAAGAGACCATAACCCATTTTTTATTTTCTGCCCTCCTTATTAAACCCTATATAAGCCCACCCAAAAATCCAGTCTCTAGCACAACCTCCAAACCTGCGGGAGGGTCTGTGTCCCTTGCTGTTTCTCAATAAACAGTACTCACCTGTTGCCTATTCCTTTTCTGTTCCCCTCCACTTTCCCAAGAACCAGAACATGTCTATTCAAGAATGGGAGTTTGTGTGTTTGTATATGGAAAAATTGTTCTTACAACTGCCATAATCTTTCTTAAATAAATAACAAACAATTACCAATAACCAACAACCAAGGAAAAATAACCAAGTTGCTGGGAGTGGCTGCTCAGAGGGAAAGTGCTGGCCTTGCATGTACAAGGTCCTAGGGCACATTAAGAGGGAGGAGAGGGAGAAGGAGAGAAGAAAAAAGGCAGCTCCTCCCTCGAGTGTCACCTCTAGCATTCTGAACTGTCCTCAACACGTTCTAAGGTACATCCTATCTGTACTGCAGAGATTATGAAATTCCAAGATTCAGAGGTGAAGTCTTTCTTCCCAAACATAAACCCACTGCCAGTACAAGTGTGGTATAAAAGTCTCTAATCTACCATTAAGACAATTGAAGTATTCAAGATTCTACTACAAGAATAAAATCAAGGTGAAATTAGTACCCCAAATACAATTTAGGTTTAGGTTGGTATTTCTAGAGAGAACCGGGTGTCTGGGCCTCTGATTGGTATGGCAGTATCAACATCACAATGCACAGTAATTAGAAAACAAATTGTGACTCTTTTAGTTAGGGTAGAGTCCTTAAACACCCATCAAATAAAATGCCTTTCCCAAGGCTATCTTAAAAGCCCCTCAGGAAGTATTCCCTTCAGGCACACTAAGCAGAGCCAAAAGTAAGCTAAACAACTAATTACATTTTTTACAAACAGCTTTCTCTTTTTGTATTATTTCATCAGTGAGTTAAATTGGTCAGTTTAGAGGATTTACAACCCCCCCATCCCAATGTAAACAATAAGTTAACAGCTGATCCTAATGGAAACAATAAGTTTTCATTGCTGTAATTAGATAAAATGTGTGTCCATCCATACATCCGTCTGTCTCTCTGTCCAGGATGACAAGGACATCAATAGCCCAGCCATATCAATCTACAACTGTTAGGTACAATATCCAAACTTATAAAAGTAACTCAACCTTTTGGATTATACTCTGAAATCTCACAATATTAAAACATTTTCAAATTTAAGGGAAAAAAATCCAACCTTTTGGATGGTAATCCGAAGTCAAGTTGGGAAGTTCGCAAAAAAGTTTCACGAGATAAATATGAAGAGAAAAAAAAAGCTCCAAGAATGCTTGCCACCTCAAAATTAAAAGATAATGCAACTAAAGAAAAGGATAAATGAGTTGTCAAACCTGAAAGGTAATATCATGGCCACCTTCCAGTCCTAGCGCTGTCTATAAACACAACCCTGGACACATCCCCTTGACTGTTCTCATTCCCATAAAAGAAGAAGGAAGAGGAGGAAGAAGAGGAAGAAGAGAGGTGGGAGAGGAAAGGAAGGGAAAGATAAGAAAAGAAAAAGTTACCTGAACAACCTTGCCCACATTTCAGTATCCTAAACTGTCCCTGGAAGAACCACGAGGTTCTTAAACAGGGTAGCAAGAGTGGGTGGTAGGAAGTTGCTTAGTCCCCAAACCACCAGTCAAAAGAATGCATAAGGAACTTACTTATTCTTAGAAGGCCGCGTGCACTGGGGATGTCAGTTCAGTGCAAGAATGCTGGCCTTTAACCCTGGAGCAAAGTGATCGTTGTGGGTAAAACCTTATTTGCACGCCAATAATTCTCCTCCTCAGGATAGGTATGGGGCTGGAAGGAGCCTGGTACTCGTTTCCTTGATTACACTAAGCAGGTCCGTCCCCGCCCCAACCAATGACAGACCAACACAGTGGAGAAATACACTGTGCTCTCTCCTGCCAGTCTGAAGTCAAGCTCTGAGCCCACAGATGCCAGCAGAGGCTTGGGGCTGCCAGGCTTCCCCATGCCTGGTCAAATGTCTCCCGGGCAGCCAGCTGGAGAGAGGCCCCAACTTCCCTCTCCGTCTTGGCCATGACCACACAGACACACACAGACACTTGAACAAGAGGACGACTCCCAAGGGACCGACAGCAGACCCAAACTTCTCCATCGAACCTCCAAGCTCCAAATCTCCCTCCACCGAACACCTCTCCCTACCAGGAACCCCGAGGGGCTCCTCCAACTAGAAAGGGGCAACGCCAGCCCCCCACCCCCACCCCCGCTGAAGATCTGCCTCAGTTTCCCCTGCCGTGCAAAGAGGCATCTTTCACTACAAGCCGGCTGTGAAGCGCTTGGGGACAGACAGTCTCGGACACTCGTCCCTGGCTTGTCGGCCCCACCGGTGAGCAGCTCTCTTCGAGAACTTTCCGTGGCACTGATGTGGGCTGCCCTGAAGGCCGAGACCCTGCGAGGAGGGAGCGTCCCCACCCCTCGTGGGCCAAGTCCCAGGATGTTCCTCCCACACGGGAGGCGGCTCCGACCCCCCGCCGGCGTGCCCCGCGCGCTCCGGCCGGACCCCACCCCAGGCCGGGTGCCTCCCGCACCCCGGCGCCACCTCCTCACCTGCCTCTGCGGCCCGCCCGGCCCACACCTGGGAATGGGACGGGACCGGGTCTCCACCGCGGACGCCTCAGGCAGAAAGGTGGAAGGCTCCGCCGCCGCGGTGTCTCCGGGGCAGAGGGGCAACCGGGGGAGGTCGCGACATCCTCACGGGCGGCCCCAGGAAGTCGCCCCCCTCCTCGCCCCCGTCCCCAGGCTGCCACGGGGGGGGGGAGGGGGGAGGGGGGAGGGAACGGCCGCTCCCGCCCCGCCTAGTGCGGCCACGCCCACTCCAGCCCCGGCCACGCCCCCCTCCGGAGCCCGTCCCGCTCAGCCGCGCCCGCGCCGCCATAGAGAGAAGCCGGCCGCGCGGCGGGCTAGAGCGCAGCCCTCCACGCGCGCCCCCTGGTGGAGCCGGAGGGCTAGAGCGGGGCGGCCGCGCGCGCCCCCCTGCAGGAGCAGGGCGCCCACCGTATCGCAGAAGGAAAGATGGGGGAAATCTTCCCCAGAGCCTGTCCTCTCCCTGATGTGGGTGATCTTGAGCGAGTCCCTTAATTTCACCGAACTCAGGCTTTGTAGTAACGGGTTGAAAGTTGCCCCGCTCTTGCTCCTGCATCTCACTTCGCCGGGGCAAAACTCTGAGCAGGTGACGACTGCTCAGTTTCACAATGGAAGAAACCCAAGCCCATCGTGGTTCAGCAGCTTATTCGAGGTCCCCCAGACCCGTGGGTATGAGGAGCCAGGTCTGTGGGACCTCCGATCTGTGCTTGTCCCCTTGGGTTTGCATCACCTGAGAAGCCTGCTGAGAAAGGCTGTGGCGGAATGAAAACGACTCAGCAGTCTGAGTCACCCTGGCCACCGGTGGTTGGCTGTGTAAGGAACTTAACCTTCTGAACTTGAACCTCCTCCCAGAACACAGATGGGCCTGGGATTAAATGAGCCGATTTGCCAAGTGCTTGGTAAACCCTAAAGGGACTAGGGCAGCATGGGGAAAAAAGAAGATATCTACTCAAGCCAGGGGCTGGTGGCTCACGCCTGTAATCCTAGCTACTCTTAAGAGTAAGATCTGAGGATCACGGTTCGAAGCCAGCCCAGACAGGAAAGTCTGTGAGACTCTTATCTCCAGTTAGCCACCTGAAAAAAAGAAAGAAAAAAACAAACCCGAAGTGGTGCTGCGGCTCAAAGTGGTAGAGCACTAGCCTTGAGTGAAAAAGCTCAGGGACAGCGCCTAGGCCCTGACTTGAAGCCCCACAACAGACAAAAAAGACGCCATATAAATGCTAATCCTCCTTCTGAGTGCTATCTGACACACTTTTTTATGCTTTAGGCTCCAATCAAGACTTCCCAGAGTTCCCACCCAGGGGGTGTGGGGGTGCACTGGAGATCCTTCCATATAGTAGGCAAGCGCTCTACATCCCCAGCCACCTTGCATTTTAAAATAAGGAACATCAGAAGGAAAAAGTAAGATAAAAATATATGTACATATCAGACTCACTTTACGATTACCATCATTTCCAATCCTCAGAACAACCCATCCAACTTAAAATATTCTCATGTTGTCAATGAAGATCTACATATTAAGAAATTTACCCAAACTCACAGAGAAAAAAAGCAGAGCTGACTTATGCAGCCATTTCTTTCCACCATCTTTCCACCATGTCTGGAAAGACTGACCTATAGCCCCCTCCCCTGCCCTCTGGAATTGAATGCACTCATTGCTTTCCTGCCTGGCTATTTTTCTAACTTTACTTGATGCAACTCCCTATCTTCTTCATTCTTCACAGAGCTTTACTTTCCCTAGTGGAGTACTGAGGTTTGAACTCAGTGCTTGATTGGCTACCACTTCAGCCACATCTCCAACCTTGCTTTTTGCTAGTTATTTTGCAGATTAAGTTCTATTGACTTTTCTGCCTGGGCTGGCTTTGAACTGTAATCCTCTAAATCTCAGACTCCTGTATAAGATGACACACCTGAGCCAGAATCCATTTCTGTATGTCTATATCTGTCTCTGTCTGTCTCATTCACGCTTTTAATTTGGTACTGGGTACTGGGGCTTGAACTCAGGGCTTTACACTCTCCCTTGGCTTTCTCTGCTCAAGGCTGGCACTCTACTACTTGATCCACACCTCCACTTCTAGCTTTTGGTTTATTAATTGGAGGTTACAATCTTTCATATTTGGATGCCTGGCCTGGATTTGAAGCAAGATCCTCAGATCTCAGCCTGCTGGGTAGCTAGATTACAGGCATGAGCTACCAGAGCCCAGCATCTTATTTCTCAAATAGATTAATGAGCTGTAATGAAGGGTAACATCTCCACTACATCTTTCTTCTGGTGAATTACAGCCACAGAAATAAGAAAGGCCTGGAACAAGAGTGAGGTGAGACAGAGGTGACTTTTTGTGAACTTAGTTTACAAGCTGACTGCTCAGTTCTGAAAGGGAATGCACTGAATCCACTAGTTGGATCCAATAATTAGAGTGTGGTTTCATGACATCCCATGGAAATCTTTTTATCTGGGCTCTCTGGTCCATATTATGCAAAATTGTTGGAATACTGCTAAGTAATGTGTACATCACTGAAGCAAGGAGACCTCAGAGCTGTATTTACCCACATTCCTCCTCTCTCCACCTGAGGCATTATTGCCATCACTATTTTTCATCTTTATCATGCCCTGCCACAGAAGCACTCAATAACGTGCCCATTGTGCAAGTAATCTGAAATCCTTTTCAGCAAGCAGTAGTATTTAGTAGTAATAAAACAATAATTTGTCTACCAAGTGACATATTTATAGGAGCTGTTTACTTTGACATATTTTTATTATTTCAACTCATTTGCTAAGTACTTTCCAATACATATTTATGAAGCACATGCCTTTCCCCAAAACAGTAGTGAAAAAAAATAAATCATATTATTTCTTTTATTAGTAGCAGTGAGGCTTGCAAGTCTCAGTGCCTTGATTTTTTTTTGTTGTTGTTGTTACTTCGGGCAAGAACTAGAATTATTCATGGTGATTGAACACCTACTATGTGCTAGACTCTCTGTGAAAGGCATTTTCCATAAATTCTGACTCATTCCCCTGAGACATCTATTTTACCAATAAGGAAAATGTAATTTCTCTGCAACACAGATTTTATTAGTAAAGCAAAGACATTATCTTACCCAAGGAACTCAGCCAGGAAGGGCACAGCAGAATTTTGACCTAGATCTTTTTCTGATTACCAAATTCCAAATCATTATTCAACCTCAGCAGCCTTGCTTAACTTCTCAGGACCTAATACATTCTGCATAATATAAAATATTCCTGAGAGACTTCCTGAGAATGGCGATAAGCATCCCCAAGATGCTGACCCTAGCTTATCAATGGGTAATTTTTTTTTATTTCTGCCAATCCTGGGACTTGAACTCAGGGCCTAGGCACTGTTCCTGAGCTGCTTTTGCTCAAGGCTAGCACTCTACCACTTGAGCCATAGCGCCACTTCCGGCTTTTTCTGTTTATATGGTTTTGAGGAATTGAACCTAGGGCTTCATGCATGTTAGGCAAACACTCTACCACTAAGCCACATTCCCAGCCCATCTATAGGTCATTTATGTATTAACTATGAGTGAGTGAATTATCCTCTAAGAAATCAGTAGTAGAGGGGCTGGGAAGGTGGCTCAGTGGTAGAGTGCTTGCCTTGCATGCATGAGGTCTTGGGTTCGATTCCTCAGCACCATATAAGCAGAAAAAGCCAGAAGTGTGCTGAGGCTGAAGTGGTAGAGCACTAGCCTTGAGTTGAAGAACCCAGGGGCAGTGCCCAGGCCCAGAGTTCAAGCCCCATGACTAGGGGGGAAAAAAGAAAGAAATCAGTAGTAGAATATCTCCCAAAAAGAAGAGCCATGAGGTTGGAGGTATAACTCAGTTGGTAGAGTGCTAACCAATAAGCGAAAGCAGCAGGTACTGAGTTTGAGTCCCAGTCTCAGATCAAAAAGAGAAAAAAAAAAAAAGTAAAAGAAGAGTCAGCTCAACCCATTCATGAAGACAAGACTGGCTATCTGGTTTGTGAACACTGTGAAAAATGTAAGATTCTGAGTCAAAAGCCAAACTTCCATCTGGGTGTGGTGATACATGTTTATAATCCTAGCTCATCAAGAGGCTGAGTTTGGGAGAGTCATGGATGAAGGCCAGCCTGGGCAAGAAGTTCATGAGATTCCATTTCAACCAATAACAAAGCTGGTTGTTAGCCAGGCGTTGATGGCTCAGATCTCAGGAGGCTGAGATCTGAGGATCACAGTTCAAAGCCAGCCGGAACAGGAAAGTCTGTGAGACTCTTATCTCCAATAAACCACCAGAAAACTGGAAGTGGCACTGTGGCTAAAGTGGTAGAGCGCTAGCCTTGAGCTGAAGAGCTGAAGGACAGTGCCCAGGCCCAAAGTTCAAGCCCTACAACAACAACAACAACAATAAAAACTGGTTGCTGTGGTCATCCGTCATCCTAGCTTTGCAAGAAGCATAAATAGGAGAATGGCAGTCCAGACCAGCATGGGCACAAAGGGAGGCCTTATTCAAAAAGTTAATAACAGAGGCTGGGCATTGATGGCTCATGCCTGTAATCCTAACTACTCAATAGGCTGAGATCAGAGATCACAGTTTGAAGCCAGCCTGGGCAGGAAAGTCCATGAGAATTCTATCCCCAATTAACTACTAAAGTCAGAAATATGGGGCAGGGAAGGTGGCTCAGTGGTAGAGCACTTGCCTTGCATGCATGAGGCCCTGGGTTCGATTCCTCAGCACCACATAAGCAAAAAGAAAAAAAAGCCGGAAGTGGCGCTGTGGCTCAAGTGGTAGAGCGCTAGCCTTGAGCTGAAGAGCTGAGGGACAGTGCCCAGGCCCAGAGTTCAGGCCCCACAACCAGACCCCCCCAAAACAATAAATAAAATAAAAAAATAAAAAGTCAGAAATAGACTGTGGCTCAAGTGGTAGAGTGACAACCTTGAGGGGAAAAGCTAAGGGAGAACACCCAGGCCTTTACCTGGCACTTACCCAGTACCCACCCCAGCTAAAAAAGTAATTAATAGTTTAAAAAAAAAAAAAGGATGCCCCATTTGTTAGGAAATGGAAAGGCTTGGAAAAAATTATATTAAGTGAAGTAAGCCAGGCCCAAAGAAACATAGGTCCCATGGTTTCCCTTATTTGCAATATCTAGTATATGTCTGAGTCAAACAGAAAAGGTCAGATA